GAGAAGGAGAAGGAGAAGGAGAAGGAGAAGGAGAAGGAGAAGGAGAAGGATAGCATGGGTGGCATGTGTTGTGTAGTGTCGAGGGAACCTCACGGAAGATCCTCGTATGGGGAGTGATGATTGTAAAAAATGTTTTTAAGGAGAAGGAGAAGTAAGAGTAAAGCAAAAAAGAAGGATGAAGGAATAAATGGTGCAAAAGTAGGATGCGGAACAGAAAATAAAATAAAGTAAAAGCAAAAGAGTAGGATTTAGAGAAAATTTAAAAGAGAAGGAGAAGGAGCTAGGCTAAGAAGACGTATTACTTTTTTATATTTAAGTACATTAATAATGAAATCTGTTGTTATAATACTCGATAAAATTAATGGTCTTAAAGGTATGACTTAATTTAAAGATTTTTAAAGCCAAACGTTTTCGACTCTATGCTTATTAGGGTCCAAAATTGTTGGAGTACGTGGATGTATCTAAATTGATGACGTGAGAATTTATAATATATAATCTATTGCTAATAGTATCATCCTTCAATGTTTGCACATCTTAATTCAATTTTATTTTTCAGAGTGAAAGCGGCCCGAATGACAGCCATACTGGACGACATGATCAACAAGGAGACGTATGACAAAAGACTTCGGCCAAATTACAATGGTGTGGGGAAAAAATTTTATAATTCTACATATGGTTTAAATAAGCCGTAGATGCCCTCGATTTCGACTGCCCATAGGGAAATAGCAGCAAATAAATCAAGTTGCTCCAATTGATGGCCGTCTTGATCGAGATAACGTTCAGTTTTTTTTAATACTTAATAGTCTAGTGTGAACTGTTTTGGACCCGGCAATAATGTTGTTAGTTTAGAAAGTAATTGACCGTCGACTTGGCAGTTTAGCTTAGTCGACTATAACATATGTTTAGACTAATATATTATTCTACCTCCTCATTTGCATATTCGAGATCCCGTGAGATAGCGCATGCGTAGTGAAGTTCATCTTGCGTTTGCGTTCAGTGAAGAAAAGTCC